GTTTGGCCTCAATTCTAGACATTATGTCTGGAGAAAACTAGGCACTGCTCATTATCTGCCCAATATCATCCCAACAGTAAAGCATGGTGGTGCCTACATCATGCTGTGGGGGTGTTTTCCAGCAGCAGGCAAGACTGATCAGGGTTGAGGGAAAGCTGAATGGGCAAAGTACAGTGATATCCTCTATGAAAACCTCTTCCACAATTCTTAGGACTTCAGGATGCATCGACATTCATTTTCCAACATGACAACGATCCTAAGTACACAGCCAAGACAACACAGGAGTGGCTTAGGGATAACTCTGTGAATGTCCTAGAGTGGCCTAGCCAGATCCCTGAGTTGAACCCTATTGAACATCTCTGGAGGGACCTGAAAATGGTTGTCCACCAATGGGCGCCATCCAACCTGACTGAGCTTGAGAGGATTAGCAAGGAAGAATGGCAGAAAATCCCCCAATCCAGGTGTGCAAAACTTGTTGCGTCATACCAAAAAACATTCAAGGCTGTAATTGCTGTCAAAGATGCTTCAACAAAGTACTGAATGAAGGGTCTGAATACTTATGCTAATGTATACATAACCCGAATTAGACTGTTGTTTCTCTGTGTCATATAATATATGTGGGTATATGCATAATTCTGTATTTATGTATGTATGTATGTATGTATGTATGTATGTATGTATGTCATATTTATGTAGTGTATATTGGAGGTGGTGACCCTTTGAGAGCTGAATGCAATGAAATTTCATTTTAATGTATGCTGATTAGTGTACATTCAAAGTGACAATAAAGTTATTATTCTATTCTATTCTATTCTATTCTATTCTATTCTATTCTATTCTATTCTATTCTATTCTATTCTTCTAATATTATATTTCAGTTTTTTCTTTTTAATAAATTTAATAAATAAATTCTGTTTTCACTTTGTCACTATGGGGGTACTGAGTGTAGATAACTGAGAAAAAAAGCAAATTTCAGCAACTGTAGAATTAGGCTGTAGCATAACAAAATTGACAAAAGTGAAGGGGGTCTGAATACTTGCTGAATGCACTGTATATCATGAGAAAACCGAATGATCATTTATTCAAGGCTTTCTTTATGCTACAAGACTTTGCTTATATTCTAGACTCTCTGGTTGTTACAAAGCAAGTCTGTTTTACACTAACCATTAAAAGAAATTTTTGAGGATTGTATACTAATTTAACAGAATTGTAAAACTGTATCCTAAACTGCAATAAGACACTGCAAATTCTATTCATCTGCAATTATCACTCTATTTTCTTCTGTGGATTTACAAACTATAAAGATTACAACATTTTTAATATTCAATATTATTACAAACTACTATTTTTCTATAATCTTTTACACTAACTACAAGCTGATATTTCATTTTTTACTCTCAGCTGAGTTACTATTTTTTCTTTTCAGCTGAGATTTTATTTTTCTTTTCAGCTTTTATTCATCTGTTAGTTTTTAAATATAACTGTGGATTACAAACTATATCTAGACTAGAGGGCATTTAAGATCTACTTCTACATTAGCTACAGGAGGGACCAAAGGGAGAACTAAGAACTCCCAGAACTAAGGAGAAATTTCCTGACTGTGAGAACAATTAACCGGTAGAACAGCTTGCATTCAGAAGTTCTCAGTGCTCCATCACTGGACGTTTTAAAGAAGAGATTGGACAGCCATTTGTCCAGAATGGTATAGGGTCTCCTGCTTGTGTAGGGGTTGGACTAGAAGACCTTCAAGGTCCCTTTCAACTCTGTGATTCTGTCTTGTTTTCCTTCCTTCCTTCCTTCCTTCCTTCCTTCCTTCCTTCCTTCCTTCCTTCCTTCCTTCCATCCATCTTTAATAAATTTATTTTGTATTATTTATGGCACATACCCATACACAATTTAGATGTCCACAAAGAGTCCAAATGTCCATTACAAGCAAACTAGAAGGATATTTGAGGATAGATGTTTAGCTTGGGAGCTAGCTTTTCATTTGCAATAAACTATGCCTGTCAAAGGCAAAATCCACAGTAATGCATTTTCTGTGGTATCTCCTCACAGGACTGCATTTCTTAAAATCAAAAAGCTGAAAATGGCTTTGCAGAAAAAGTCTCATGAAAGTAGCCAAAAGGTTATGTTTGCAGCCTTGGTTTGGATTTGTAGCTGCAAGCTTAGAAATAATTGCTATACTGGAAAGTAAACAAAAAGATTCTACATGGATGGAACAGCTTAGAGGGCCTTTCTCCCTTTTATTTTAATGCAGTTTGATCAGGACATCTCTTCAAAGAGAGGATGCCTTTAGAGGAATTCCTGCTATAAAATAAATGTACAGCCATTTCTCCAAGAATTCCCAAGAATCCTTTAAACAAATAAATAAAATAAAAACTCCACAATGAGGGTAAGAGAAAGAAAAAGAGAGAAGAGAAATCAAATTTAAATCTAATAATTGGAAAAGAAATTCTGGATTCTGACACCAATTAAATCAGGCTTAAAAATTAAGAACCATCAGTTCCTCTGTTGTTCTGCTAATGAAAGTCATCTGGCTATATAAATCTAGCCAGATGACATGTTATATTTTCCTGGGCCTGAATCAAGCTACAGAAGGAAGAAATTTGAATACCCTTGATAACACAGGGGAAGCAGTATCCAGGAAAAAGTGGCTTAGATGAAGTAATGGGAAATAGCTTTTCATATATAGGAAACACACAAAAATACATAAACATATTTTTCATCATTCTCCAAAATGCAAAAATGATATGTTGGAGAAAACCTCGTAGTAGACAGTTAAGTCACAGGGTAAAACAATTTCTCAATCTTGCCACTCTTTGGATCTTCATAGGCTTAGTGTCCCTCTCCTTAATTTTACTTCCTTCTACAGAAAGCAAATGGAGAGTTGCCAGAAAAGCTATTTTAGAATTATGCCAATGCTCACTTTAAAATAATATGCCATAGCTACTTCATGAAAGAAATGATTTGGTAGCTGGAGAAAGCATATACTCATCCTATTCTGCCCTTTTTTATCTAGAATATCAAGATCCCCAGCTAGCATCTGGTAGAAAAAATATTTAGAATGCAACAATGGGAATTTGTTTTGAGATGAAGAACCTCAAGTTATAATCACACATTCAGATCTGGAATCATTTTCTTTCTATGTTCATAAGTACCTAGAGTCAGACATTCTTGCAAAATTTCCTTCAAACCAACCCCAGATATGAAAAAAATGTGTTTTACTCCTAAACATCCTATTGGACACAACAAATTCTGCCTAACTCCAAGATCTTATTTCTTTCTTTCTTTTTTTAAAAAACACTCACTATTGAAAAATTTTACGATACTAACAGATGAAACAAACTAAAATCAGAAATAAAGAAAGAGTAGAAAAGAGATGAAATAGAAAGTCCTGTTTTTGACAGAGACCAATCAATTACTTCCAGGAAACCTTAAAAATAATGCAAGTGTCAGAATCCAATTATATTTCATTTCTATCTACCTACTCTGATGAAAAACCAATTCTTACTCTATTCTGGATTCTGTCATACTACGAAAAGGGAGGAGGGTAAGCATGGGGGGTTTATGACTCCCACTTCCTTCATTAAACTACAAAGTGACCGTTTGTGGATTCTCATCCGAGAGAACTAACCATAACAATGTGGCCATCGCCTTTCATCTCACTCCCCTGTGCTGGCAGTGAGGAAAGGGGGTGGGAAATAGAACGCCAGGGTTCTGGGAAAAGAGGATGAGTGAGCGGACTGATGGATTGAATCGCCTGGAAGAACTGTGGGGTGGGAGCTGCTTAGGAACACTTTAAAACATTGAATGGTGAGAGAGGATTCCCCAGATCCTGTCTAACATGCCTGCAATCAACTTCTCTTAATAAAGATCCCTGTTGGAAGAGACATTCCAAGAGTTCTGTCTTCTTAAGATGTAAAATTGAGGTGGGTCCTTACAGCAAGTATTGTTTCATGTTTCTTCTTTTCTTTTTGCCCTAAATCATGGGAGCGCACTAATATTCTGTGCCTCAGCTGTGGTGATAATGTGAGAAACTGAGCATTCAATTTAATATTTAATAAAAAATAAATAAAAGTTCCTGAAAGAATTTACCCATCAAAGAAACTGCCCAATGCATCTTCTTATGACCTCGGTCCTTTACTTGCTCCTTTTAACAAGATGCAAAGATTTCTCCCCCACCAATAAGACATCTCCCTTGATTGATCAACTGACCATCTGTGTGACGTAAGTCAGATTGAGAAAGAAGTCAGTATTCTCAAGGGAGATTCCATAGCCAATGGGACTGGACTGGAATCAAGATCTTTCTCCAACAGTTTAACGACTATAGTATTCTGACTTGGAAGTAGTAATAATAAAAATGGTAAATAATTTAAATATTGTGGGATTCCCAAATTGAAGCTGAAAGATTATACCGTAAACCAGTCGTGGTGGTGCCAGCGATTATTGGCATACTGGGTGCCATATCAAAAAATCTTGGACTGCCCTTAGAAAATCTGTACATTGATAATAAATCTGTCAATTGCAAAAGGCTGTACCACTTGGATCCATATATACTTCACTGATACATTACGCCCTCCCAGGTTCTTGGGAAGAACTTGACATGTGTGAAAGCCAACACTAGCTAAAGAACTGACACCTGGGATTTCACATGTTGTATATGTAATAATCATATCATAAAAGGTATCCTAAGACAATGCCTTTCAAACAACGACAGCTGCCTATCCCAAGTCCTTGGGAAGGACTCGATAAGTGGATAAAAATGCCAGTTGCAACCATAATAATTATATGACCAATTTTTACCATATCTAAAAAGAGACAGCAATAAGAATGTGAATGGCTCAATCTAAGTATCAGTTTGCCAAAGCAATCTATAAATCAGATTATTTTGCAAGGAGAACAAAAGATTGCTATGTAGATAATATTAGACATCATTTGTCAGCAAAATCAGCAATATGTTAATGGGTATGAAAATCAAGAATAAGAATACCAGAGCTTACACCATGTTGCATTGTCCTCCAGACAGTCCTCTAGGAAGCATGAGAGAAAAGAAAAAAAAGGGGAAAAAATCAAGACAAAATGTTAGGTTATAGGAAGCAGAGAGTCGCAAAGAGGATAACGTATCAGTATCAGCAAACCACAGCTAATCTTCGACTTGCAACAGTTCATTTAGTGTTCATTTCACTGTTCACTGAAAAAAATGGATTATGACCACTTTTCACACTTATGACCCATTGCAGCATCCCCATGGTTATGTGACCAAAGTTCAGACACTTGTCAACTGACTCATATTTATGACGGTTGCAGTGTTCCGGGGTCCTGTGATCCCCTTTGGTGACCTTCTGACAAACAAAGTCAATGGGGGAGCCGGATTCACTTAACAACTGTGTTGCTAACTTGACAAGTGCAATGATTCACTTAACAATGGGGTCAAGAAAGGTCATAAAATGGACAAAATTCACTTAACCGATGTCTCATTTAGCAACAGAAATGTTGGACTCAATTGTGACTCAATTTCACGAACCAATTTAGCATCTTAAGGCCTTTTAAAACCTGGAAAGTATAGGGAAAACATTCTGTCTCTCCAATCGCTGAAATTGACATATTTTATCTGTGCTTTATCTCTGTCACAGATCTGGTCATTCCAACCTAATTGTCTTCTCAGAAGGCTCATTGAAGGTCATCTACAGGTGAGTGATATTTTTTTTTTCTTTCCTGACCTCAACAATCTGAAAATCTCTGTCTGAGGTGGTCAGCTAAATAACTTGTTTTAAACCATTTTTAGTTCGATCTCAAACACTCGTGATTGATAGCAGTTTTCCCAACCTGAAGGTTGGTTTAAAGTTCCCAAGACATACCAAGTCAACATGAAATAGTACCAGGCTGAAAAATGCTACAGATGCTGATTTATGAAGTAGGATTGCATAAGTATTATTTCTACTGTGCATTTTTTTTATCTCTCTGTGTATTGATTCCTTTATTGGTATGTTTTTATTACAGGTTTCAATTGATTTATGATGTCTTTACTTGTCTCTTTGAAGATGTTTTATTTGCACAGAAAAATGATCAATACATTCATAAGTAAACATGAACAGCAAGCTCTAGCTTGCCCCTCATAGTCTATCCCAAAGAAAAATGGAAAAAGGCAGCTAATTGGGAAGACTATTCATTTACCTGCTGCTTCTGCAGAAATGCAAAAATGAATCTGGTAGAGTCAGATAAAGATAAATGTCTCCCTAAAATTTGATGGTAGTTGCACAGGATAGATGGTCTTGCAATGAGATTTGCTGAGGGCGAAGATCCATGGATGTGTCTCTACAAGTGCTGCAGATCATGAATTGCTCTAAAATGTTTCTTCCCCTTTCTCTCAGGCCCCTCCCCAATACAGGTAGGCTTCAAATTACAACGGTTCATTTAGTGACCGTTCAAATTTACAACAGCACAGAAAAAAGGGATATGACCGTTTTTCACAGTTACAACCTTTGCTGCATCCCCATGATCATGTGATCAAAATTCAGACGCTTGACAACTGGTTCATACTTATGACGGTTGCAGCGTCCCAGGGTCATGTGATCACCTTTCGCAACCTTCTGACAAGCAAAGTCAATGGGGAAGCCAGATAAACTTAACAACTGTGTTACTAACTTATCAGCTGCAGCGATTCACTTCACAACTGTGGCAAGAAATATCGTAAAATGGGGCAAAATTCACTTAACAAATGTCTCACTTAACAACAGAAATTTTGGGCTCAATTATGGTCGTAAGTACAAAATGCTAATATATAGCCCAGTTCCACACAATTACTCCGTCCCATAATGTTGGTCCACCATAAGAATTTATGATAGTTCAACTCACTTGTTAGCTGAAATAGCCAAAGAAGGTACTGAAGTTAGTCCATCTGAGTTGGTCTTTTTCAATTTGGTAAAATACATTTTTAAAAAAAATCTCTCCTTGTTGCAAAACAATTTAACAGTACTCTTGCAAATGTGCCCGGTAGAGACATGAAAGGTTCAAATTCAATTTTATAGCTTAGTTTTGAGTCTAGCAAGGTCAGACAGCATATTGGGAATGTATTCTTATATTAGTAAAGATATATTTTGGGTTTTTTTCTTTTTTTCTTTTCCCCAAAGGGGCTTTTCTTTTTAATTTCATGCTGCTAAAATCAAGTCCTCTGGAGTCGTTCTCCACCATTTTGAAGAGAAGAAACTGAACCAGTGGGTTGAAACCACAAGGAAACAGATTTAGGGTAGATATTAGGATAAATTTCCTGATGGTAATTGCTACCAATGGATGAAAGAAGGAAGAAGCTGTCTCATGTTTTTGTTACAGCTTTTCCAAGAGAGACTGGATAACCACCTATTCAAAATACTATATGAAATTCTTCACTGAGCATGGGTTGGACTAGATGACCTCTGAGATATCTTCTGATTCTGTAGTTCTATGATGGTACAACATACTGTGGTCCTAAGAAGGCAGTACTCTCTCTGCGTAAGCATGAAGGCAATGCTAAATATCACATGCACTTAAAATGTACCTCTGCAACTATTTTTTGAGCATCTTATACACTAGATAGCATGGCAAGCTTCCTCCTCATTTTTATTTTCCCTTAAATATTTGACTGCAAAAATTAGTAGAAAAGAGAATTGTTTTTCAAACTGATATTGAGTGCATCCACTAAACATGGATTGTGCCTGAGCTTGAAAAGCTGAAGAATATGTTTCTATGAAAAATACATTTGTTTGGCTTTATATAGCATATATGAAATACTTTGTGTTTGCAGTGTTAGGGATTATCAAAGAAACAGCCCTAAGAGTGGGTGGAGAGACAGCTGCCAGACCCGCAAGTAGAAGAGGGATTTGCTGAAGGGCATCAGAGGGCACCATCAGAAGATCGTTCTATCTCGGCTCTCAGCCCTTCATGCTCCAACACTGAAAGTCTTTAAGAAGAGACTGGACAGCCATTTGTCTGGACTAGTAGAGGATCTCCTGCTTGAGCAGGGGTTTGGACTAGATGACCTCCAAGATCCCTTCCAACTTATTTTATGATTCAACGTGGAATATTGCAGAAACTGTTCATGCATGTCAGGTCTGCCATATTCAGCTTCTTCACTTAGCTGGCATCCTGCCATAAATTGCAAGGGAGGGGGAAGAATCCGGTGCAGTAACATGTGGGCCTGGGAAGGAGAAGACAAAAGGCAGGAGGGGAGATATGTTGACAAGAATTAGAGGTGCCAAACCAGAATAAACGAGCCTCCAAGGATACTTGGCCTGGGAACCAAAGGAGACACTGCTGTGAGAGGCACCAAACATCCGAGCTGTTCCCGAAACATCAAAAAGGCATCCTATTGGACACTGATGGACTGGTTAATGGAGGAAGGCCAGGGAAAGGGGAAAATGTAATCTTTACACAGGAATACTCAGATCTAGCCTTACTTTTGCTGCCACAGCTTAACTTTAGTAAAAGAACTTATCACTTCAATCAAATGGAGTTGAGGGTCTTTCTTCTTTCCCAAATGTCTAAGTTGGGGCAGGTCAATGCTCAATCTATTTAGGATCCTCAAATTCTTGATTTTTCTGGACAAACCTATGCAGGATCCTTTCAATGATAGTATGTGTGTATGTGTATACTATACACACACAGAAACACACACACACACACATATATACCTGAATATATATGCATATGTATATTACTGATAGTTAAGGTGTATATATATGATTTCTAATTTTTAATAGTAAGTGGGCATTTATAAAAGATTATAACCAGTGCATCCAAATTCAAATATTTTTAAAAGGGAAAAGAGAAATAGATACACTTTTAAAATAAAAAAATCAAAGTTGCTTTAATAACATACACTAGATTTTGAATCTAAAAAGTTAATTTGGAACAATTTTCAATGGAAATACTAACTACTATTCTTCTGGAGGAAAAGGCCTTAAAAAGCCTGCAAAAAAAGGAGTGGTGATGGTGGTGGTGGTTGAATTCCCCCCCCCCTAAAAAGACTGATTGCCAAAACACCACTGCATATGTTTAATGTAGTTATAAAATAAGGTTTCTTGCCTTAACTTGTGTGAAATGTGAATTCCTTAATTCAACTTTATCAGAGAAAGATGCATTATGCATATGGACACTTAACAACAATAAGTGCTTATTTAATGATGAGCAGAGCACTAAAATGAATATATTGTAAAGTTAATTGGGAATTGAAGTGATTGCACTTTAATGTGACAAGCAGGGGATTACTTATTTCAGTAGTCGGCATGTGCAATTTTCTCCCAAAAGGAAAAAAAAACAATCTGTCAAATTACTCTTCTCATGTTTTCTCTTAAGAGTAAGATATTAGGTATTGCAAATGCATATTTTGCAACTACACTGCTTTAAGTCTATCACTCACCCCAGCTGGCCTTTTGATCTCTGATTGATCCTCAATTCATACAAAGCCGAAAAGAGGGATGAAGAAAAATACCTGACATGGACTTTATGGAAGGGATTTGGAGCCACCTGCTCCAACAGATAGCCTGGCCTACCCAAAAGCTGTGAAGCCAGTCAGAGTTCCTCACAACTCTCCTGCCCATTTGTGAATGATTTGCGAAAAAGAATATGTGACTGAAAATCACTTGCAAAAGATATATCAGTGTAAAGAAGAAAAAAATCGAGCGCTGATATAAAAAAATCTGCATTAAGAGTTTGCAAGAAGAAAATGTATTAAACAAATTCACGTGAGAGAAATAGAGCTGAAAAGAGTTTCTTAGGGAATCCGTCTTAACAGATGCATGCATTCAGGGAAGCCTCTCTATATTAGGAAGAATTGCATATTTAAATAGTTGAAGTTGGTTTTGCACCCTACAGAAACTGGGCCTTTTATTCTGGGGCTCTTCATCAGAGCCAGTGATAAAGGAAAAGAAGAGAAAAGCCTGTTTTTCCACAGAAGATGTTTAAAGGGCCAGGGCTAATGCAGAGGTGTCAAACTGCCGGCCCATGGGCCGGACACATCATGAGGAAACCACGCCCACGCCATTGCTGGCAATGGGGAAAAAGTTCCGATATGTCACACGATGTCACGTGACATCGCGGGTTTGACATGTCTGTTCTAATGATTCACAGAAAAATATCATTGTGACTGGCATTTTGTTTCTTTTCGTGTATCCCAACATATTGTCCCACTATACTGCTCCATTTTTGAGAGGAAAGCAATTATAGTGTCACGCTTTTCCTTTGGCAGTTTCATATAGTCAGTGGAAGCCTCAATTTTCAAAATAATGGTCTTTCAGATTTAACCAGATCACAGAAGTTTACCTGATCACAGGTTACTTACCAGCCTGTCCAAGCTGGTGCCAGCAGCAGTTGTTGGTCTTTCTTCTGGGTTATAAGGTCGAAAGCGAGTGTTGAAGTTTTCAGGAATGGACCGAGATGCTCTTACACCTGGAGCTGGCTTAGGCTGTCCACAACCTTGGAAAACCTACAAGTAAACATCTTCAGTTACACACAAAAGATGCACTGAAGATAAAAACCTCAGAGTAAGTTACAAAGCTTGAAACATTTGAATCAGTAGGTCTTTTTTACTTGCTATGCAAAACTTCAGTGGATTTATTTGTTAAAGGCCATCAATCAAACAGTATAATTTCAGAAATTTTACCTAGCATTATCTAAATCTAAACTGTAAGCTCCTATCTGCTGTATCAGATAGGCCTCGGTTCATGAATGCCATATTTGAATGGTTCTGATTTGGTTTCCAGTCCACACATAGGCTGAACAATGACTTTAGAGTTTGCCAATTGTTCTTTTCAGCATCAATTATCTGAGTATGGATTGTCTGAAGGACTATGCAGCAATCTCCTGAAATGTTTAGGCTTTGTTCTTTTAAGGCTGTGCAACTCTTGCTAGTCTCGCTGTTCAGCAGATTTGTTCTGGAACTTCACAACTGCCCCATTTTCTATGGAAAAGCGATCTTTTTAGCATCAATTACTTATATCATAACCTATTTTATAATACTGTATCGGAATACATTTCTCTGATAAACTTAGTGGTTCAGGCCTTTTTTTTTTTTTTTAAATGAACATGCTCTGTTTCCTAAATAGAATAGAACTGAACTAAGAGGTATTCAGAAGAAAACCAGACAGGTTGCCATTGGTATAATCTGCGGGACAAATGACATGGATTTTGTAATTTGTTAACTAACAGTTATTTTTGTATTTTGTATTTTAATTTTATGTATTTTCTCTCTTTTAAAATAATGTTGGTTCATTACAGATTGGAATATAGGATAATTGTATGGATTGGTTAGATAGCTTTTAACATTCCTAAACTGAAAAGATAAATCTTCAGATCGATTATTTTCTCTGCTCAGGTACAATACAGACAGGAATTTAGGAATAGCTTTTAACATTCCTAAATTGAAGAGATAAACAGGTTGAAGATTATCTGAAGATAAGAAAAGGTTTGTTAGTACAAATTGGGGTCTGGTTTATCTTTTTAGTGAACTCTAAACAACTTTTTTCTTTACAATTTACGCCTCTTCTGACATCAGACCTCATTTTAATGAACATGTATATTATGGGATGCAAATGTGTAACAAGCTTGACCACATGTAACTGATTTCCTATGTGAAGGGGAGGTTACTTTTATCCTGTCCAATCAACTTTCCTCTTGGATGTTTCTTTGTTATGCTAACTATAAAAGGTGTTGTAAGCTAAAGATCGGGATTCCCTCTTTGAATGAAAGGAATCCCTTTTGTCTGAATATTCTGATAAATTGTAATAAAATGATCTTCCTGTCTCGGTTTGTCTCATTGGAAAATATGCATGCTGAGGCATGAGGCTAAAAGAGCCACATTTGGCCTTCAAATCCCTACTAATATTTGATCAAAAAAGGCATTTACATTAATAAAGGAAAAATCATAATATATATCCTGACAGTCACAAAACTAAAGAATACCAAAGAGGGGCAATAATAGACTTATGTTTGAATAGAATAGTGGAGAAATCTTCCTACTCCAACATGTTGCAACTAAATATTAATATCCCATAGACAGAAGGAAGCACATATGGTTGATTATGAATGGATGAGGATTATGATTTATCATAAAACTTCAGTATAATAGTATACTGAAGTAGTATACTATAATAGTATAATATGATACAGTTACAGAATCTGGGAGACTTGAAATTAAGAGGAAGTTAAGCTAATTGATGCTACTTATCATTAAATCAGAGACTCTATCAAAATGTCACAAACTACAGTTGGATATGTTGAGATCAGGCTGGAGGCATATGTCTCTAGATGATTAATTTCTCCCATTTTTCAATCATGTTTGATATTAAAAGCCTGTGACACTGATTCCTTGCCATGAACTTGTCAGAAGTTTTGCCAAGAAAGTAATTTGTGAGTAAATGAAGAGACACGGCATTTGTGCCCCTAGATCAAATCATATCAACGAGAAAAATGTTGGCTGAAATGGTGGGAAGCAGTGGGAACTTTGTAACAAAGTGACCAGGTCATCTTCGGCTTCAAGATTCTGTAAGAAATGAAATTGAAGCCCAGCCATACATACTAGTTTTCATGGAAGCAATATTAATAAGCTGAAAGAAGTACTAGATGGGAACTTATGGATAAAAATCCTAGATCGGAAGGCCCAAAGATAGCTTAAAAACAACATGCTTTCTTTTTGTAGCAATAGCAATAACAGATTTATATAGCCCTTCATAGCACTTTACAGCCCTTTCTAAACAGTTTACAGACTCAGCATATTGCCCCCAACAATGTGGGTCCTTATTTTACCAGCCTTGGAAGGATGTAAGGCTCAATCAACCTTGAACTGGTCAGGATCAAACTGCTGGCAGTCAGCAGAATTAACTTGCAATACTGCATTCTAACCACTGCACCATCACAGCTCTTATAAAAGATATATTTTCACTACGGAGTCTTCATCCTGTTGCTAAGGCAGGGTGAAGCTGGATCAAGGTGATCTGCCAACAAAATGATGCTTTCCACAGGAAACCAAAAAACAAATTTCTCTGCAAACGTTCCATGTTTCATAGAGGAGGAGACTAAGGGAGATCAGTGACCTGCATGGCTCCAGTTGGCCTCCTTCCTATATGCCTTGAGACTTGGCCTCTATGACCATTTATACTTTTACCATGACATCTTTTTTTTCTAAAAAGAGCACCAGTTTAGTGTAGTGGTTAAGACTTCAGGCTACAAACCAGGAGACATTGAGTTCTAGTCCAGTCTTAGGTATAAAAGCCAAACTGGTCTTGGGCCAGTCTGTCTCTCTCTCAATCCTAGAAGAAAAAAGAAACCAAGGACAAACTACTTCCAAAAAAACCTTGCCAAGCACACTGTAGGGATTAATCCAGACAGTCATTGAGAATCAAAAACTAACTCAAAGGCACAAACAAACAAGTAAACAAACCAAAACATTTCTAACATCCCTTCCCTTTGCTTCCATTGAACATTCCACCCAAGTCTTGGCATTGCATTTTTATGAAAGGTATTGACAAATTGGAGTGTATTCAAAGGAGAAAAAGTTGATATGGGCCAAGTAGGAGGAGAAAAACCTATGAAAAACGAACAATATATTTAACCTAGGGAAGAAAAGACCTGATTTTCAACTATCTGCAGGGATGTCATGGAGAAGAATCCTAATCTGTGATTGTTAAGAATTTGCTTAATAGAGGGATAGACTCCCTTGAAAAATCTCCTTTGTATTTAGACAAAAGTTGGAAAACTATCTGGTGAGGATGCTTTAGTATTGGACCGGGCTGTTAGTTGGGCTATGAGATGGCAATACCTACTTTATACTCTGTGATTCTACGAAAGTGATTGTTGTCCTAGAAATGTACATAGATGGTTTTCAATTGTCAAGACAAAGGAAAATGAATGCAATGTAGCCTTCTGGTTTGCTATTTATTCCAAACATTTAATAGTAAAAATTGATACCTTTCCAGTCACATGCACACTGTTTTCTTGCATGTTCATAATGGCTTCAGAAATTTTGACATCAATGGGATCCATAACTGACTCAATGTTGAATGGTCCCTCTAGTCTGTCTGCTACCAAAAGCATGGCATCTGTTAAAGAACAAACAAGTCGGTCATTAGATAATCAGTAACTGTGGAACTTCACATGTTATGCTTAATCTTGCAATTATCTCAGGGCAAAGTAATGAAAAACAAACTAGTCACTTATTTGCTGTACAGAATTCACAGAATGCTTGAACAAGTGAAGAAGATTTTAACAGGTCCTCATAGTGCAATTTTGGGTCCAAAATTTCCATTGCTTTAGGTGTCTCATCCTTAATGTATTGCAGATGTATCTGGATGACACCGAAGGTATGTTTTTCAGTTGGATGCCTACTCTTAAAATACAGTTATAGGATGATTGTCTTCAGTGTGGACTGTCAGTCTGCATAGCATGTATATATAGCAGGTATGTTGCATGTTAAAGTTGAATGGCCCATGGCAGTTGTAAAAGTCCATGGAGACTCCTTTCGGCAGACAACAGGATCATCTGCCCTGCTGAGTCTCACTTTCCACTTCTCTTCTGAGTCACCACTGTTGTGATCATGTGGAGCAACAGGAGAGCTAATTTCTTATGCAATTATTCCCTCTCCCCCCCCCCTCCATCCTTTGTTAACAGCACTTGAGAGAAATGAGAATAAATTTTCTTTTCCTGTCCAATAAGTGCACCTATTCAAATGAGTGTTTTTCCATTGCTACTAGGACAAATGATTCTGACAAACAGCCACTTTGATCAAAAGAACCATGGATGGGATAGGAGCCTGGTTTTAGGTAGATAAGAAAAATCAATAATCAATCTTTTTTTGTGTGTGGGTAGCCCCAAAGTTACATAACTTTGTACACCATGCCCCACCACCTGATATATAGGAAAGCTCCAGCTAAGGAATAAGAAGCAGCTTAAAAGTTTTCTCCTCAAAGCCATCTGCTGTCATTGGTACATAAGAAAAAAAAAGACAACTGAGAGTTGACAAACCAAATTAATTAAGAATGCATGTTCTACCTTTTCATGCAGCAAAGACAAAAGATTCTTTTGTCATGACACCTGAAACAGATAATTTGCTAAATAATTCATTCATAGATTTATTCATCATACAAATGAAACCAGATAGAAATGAAGCCTTGGTGTATTAGTCTAAGAGTTTTGCACAAGGCACTGAAAACTTCAACTTGACATAGCAGGATCTTGTAATTAAAGCAGCTGTTCTCTCTAACCCTAAGGACTCCATTTCCTTGCAATACAAAATCGGATAAATATTGGATTCTTGCCATGATGTACAGGTACAAGCCAAGTTTGATGCTTTGGGCTTTTTACAAAATGCAGCTTGATGAGGCAAGATAGATTTTATGATACCACTGGGGCTACATAAGCTCATTTGTCTAATTACACACCATTCTCTGTGTATGTAATAAGAGGATGAGGATGTTACCCATACTGTCCTTGTTGTAATAAAACTTTGACAATCTGAAACACTGCCAGCTTATCCATCAACTTACGTTGCATTCTGGACCTTAAAAGTGTTTCTTTTCCCCAGCACAGAATTATTTTGCCCCCCTGGAATAGACTGGATGATAAATTCTGGGTCAAAGGCTTTGTCAGTTAATCAGTCGTTTCAAACAATTTGCAGACATCTGAGAGTTCAGAACTAGATTTAACATGACCATGTGCACATTGCCTTTAAAAAAGCAATCATAATTTAAAAGCAAAGATTTTGTTTAAATTTCTTTCTATATTCATATCTTTGCATAAAATATCTTGATTGGAATTAGTGTTGTTATAGCTGAGGGGTCTTTAGTGTTCTCTCAGCTTGGTTTTCTTGCAGATTTTTCATTATCCAAACTAAGTAACGTCATCATTTCTAATGTAGGTAATACCAGCACTGATGATGTTACCTAGTTTGGGTAATAAAACATCTGCAAGAAAACAACCAAGCTCAGAGAATACTAAAGACCCCTCATTTCAACCCTGAGCTAGAAATATTCTCCTTTATTGTTTTTGTAGCTATTGATCACTAGGAATTAGGGGTAATGCTTGAAAACTGGATCCTCATGCATGTATTTGAATTCTCAATTGTGCTCTGCACTTGCTTTTCATTGCACCATAATGCAAAACCATGTTTCATGTAAATATGTTGAAGAGTTAGGAGAAACTGCATTGTACCATTGAATTAGGCTGCTAAAAAGTCAAAGAAAATAAAATTTCAGTTTTGACTGCGAATCAGAAAATTAAGTCAATCTGATTCATAGACTCATTGGCTACTAGGTCAACTGAAACCAGAATTTGATTCAAGGATTGTGTCATTTATTGATGGGAAATATTTGGTTGGTTAAAGCTATGGAGCAGGTAAATAAATAAATAAACGAAACCTTCAATTTTGCATAGAGCAGAAGGGGGATATATGGTAAAAAAGCTTTTTTTTTTTTGCTGAACTTTGAAATATATAGGTTAAGTCAAAACTTATAGAAAAAAAGCATTTTATTGTCTACTTAATGGTTAGAATTTTAACACAGATAAAGGCTTTTATTTGTATCATTAGAGTACCATGGAAAGTGGTATGAGGTCTCTATCATAAAAACAAAGACATCATGGACCATTTTTCCTGTGTTCCCCAATCCTGCTTTTTCTAGTGTAGTTTTCATTACCAATAGGTCATGAAATGATATTTCTTCTTTTAAAAGAAAACAGGTAATGCCTCACAACAGTGGCTGATTATACCCAGGGAGGATAAGAGAAAGTCCAGTGAGCAGGCATGTTCACTTAGCAGGCATGCCATCTTGTAGTCTGTTGGATTTGTAAATGAAAAAAACCAGATGCTCTGCATCTGGCACGTGATTTCTTAAACATTTATTCAGCGATTGGTTGCTTCTGGATTTCTAGAGCTTTTGACTAGTATAGAGACATAGGAAGATCAACTCTACATAGGGTTCATTTGTATATCTAGCTTTTTTAATAATTATTTTGCTTACTTATTCCAGTGAAGCTAAGAATAAAAGACATATTCCTCCTTTCCACTGCAATCTTCAGAATATTTTTGATAAGTTAACTTGAAGCAGAGACATCCTCAAGATGTCCTAGTGACCATCCCTGCTGACTTGGGAGTTGAAGTTTGTTGTTGCTTTCATTATTCCATTATTTCTAGATTGTTCACACCACTGTGCAATCTTCAGTGAGGTCTTAACCAGAAATCAGGAAATCATCTACACAATAAATAATCCAAACTGAATCACTCTGACATCTTAAATAAGATCACCAAAATCTTATGAGATCTTGTACAAGATAGTCAAGATACTAAAACACTGAAATAAGATTTGTGATCTCATGAAACTTCAGTAATTTTACATATGTTTTCTACTATTAATTTATTCTCTTTTAGGTTTCCATAAGTGACTTTGGGAGTTGAATTCTGACAGGATAATGACTTGGAGCATCTTCTATCATCAGCTAGTCATTACTCAAATAATAAAAACACTTTCCTCATTAATGTTATTTCAGCACAAGAATAATTGAATGACTTTAGAAAGTATTGTGCGTTTGTACCTAACCTTGGTATCTAACCCTTTTGACATGTGATTGTGAGATTCCATGTTGCCTTCAACTTATCCTTAGCTCACGAATGACAGAAGAATATATCATCCTTAGCCCTATTGGTCTTAACATGTTTTCTCCTTTAAGCAATCAGCATCCAATGGCAGCCAAAGGCTAGGTTAAAAACTGCCACCCTTTGCCACCCTTATGTCAGAGGTGAAGTTGGATGACTAATAGTAAGTAGGATAGTGAGGTGCTTATTGGCTATTTCTGGGAAACGTGTGCATCTCTTTTCTCCTCCAGTTTCCTACTTGCCATCATTTTGCTGCTGTGTTTCCAAAGAGCCATGTGATGGAAATGCTTAGGTGGCAAAATTGTAAGTGTAATTTTATAGTGATGCCGGCTTGTGTTAAACTGAATATGGAATGTGGAACCACCTCCCATCTCAGAGCAAAGAGGATTCTATTGGATATTTGAAGAAAGAAAAGAAAAGAGAAAGGAAAGCGTTCAAGTCCCGCTTGCTACTCTACTCTCTTTCACAGCTGAAGGCAGAAGGACACAAGAAGAATCCCAGAGATAACAGACACAGCTCTCCAGATGACAGACACAGGCCCTCCATGTGATGCATTGGCTTGCTAACCACCTGTTCTGTAGATTACTCCCACAAAACACAAACACAACCTATTATGAATGCATACAAAGAGTACATATATTAAAGATCTTTAAACAAGATTAAACAAATTCTTTTTTGTAAAGCAGGGTTAATATTTCTTCATCCCAGTAATTTAGGTATTATCTTTTTCTTTTGAAAACTGTTTATATTTTATTGGTCTCAAAAGAAGCCATTTCTTTCTTTTTTGATTATCTTTTGAGCAGAAATCTATCTTGGCTCTTTTTCTGAGTCCCCCGTGTATGGCAAGACAGAATGGTATCTTTCAGGCAAATTAGAAAATTAATAAAAGCAAATTAATATTTGTTCTGGCCAAAATCCAAACTGAATTCCCATGTGAAAGTGTTAGGCATATGCTTAACTTGACAAGTGAAATTAATAAGATGTAGGCTGTAACCCTATGCACCATTACTTGGGAGAAATTGTAATTGATCTCAGCAGGATTTTTGAATAGATTTTAATGTGCTTGTTTTGCTAAAATTGTGGTCACCTTTGGCCCTAACCAGTTACACCTTGCAGGCTTAAAGGTGATTGCAAATATGCTAATGTTCCAAAATATTTTCATCGGCAGTGATATTTTGGATGGAATGAAACATGAACTAATAATTTAATAAAATTGCTCTAATGATGGGCTTCTACAATATGGTTTAAAGAAAGGCAACACCTGAATTAAATTGATTCACGGGAAGTCATTTCTAATAAGTATAATGCTAGCTTTGTCTGATGGATATCAAAAACTCTACTTTTTAAAACATAAATTGAAAAACTTGTAACTTTTATTGTACTTTTCTTTGGGGGGGGGGTTTGAAAAGCTAATATATGAACAGCACAAATATTTCTCCCTTTTTGCTTACTGAA